TACATAAATGATCCTAAATATTCCACATGACAAAGTGCTGAGATTAAAGGCATGCACTACCACTGCCTAGCCAAATAATATAAAATAAAATTATATATGCAATTATTATTATTATTATTATTGGGTTTTCTCTTGATCAATTTGCCCCACATTTATAATTAGTGGTCATGTTTTTCCTACACACCTCTGATCTGAATTTTTAAAAAGCTGATTATTTGGACAAAGTAAGCAAGAATGTAGAGTTCTAAGAGGGCAGCCGGGCAACACTGACTGGGAGATTTCTTTCATCTCCTGTCATTTGTTTCCGTGCTACGGTAAATAAAGCAGTGGTCTTAACGAAGGGCTTACTTACACTCAGGGCATTGGTGGTTTGTCAGCATACCTGTGTAAGGAGTCATCTCATGATTAAGTTTACATAGACTAACTAAATGCATGTATATGCTCTCTACTCTTGGTCCTCTGAGGGTGTAAATACTCCAGAGTACCTGCATGGCTCTTTAATTCTCTCCTTTGATGGATTTCTGGAGATATGATGCAACTCTTGATGGAAAAGAAGGCTGGAGCTGGAGCATTCTTCTTTTGTCTCAAATGAACTTTTCTTTCAAAGTGATGGTGGAGATATAACCTAGAGAATAGGTTATGTATACTGTTTATGGACGCTTGTTAATGCATGTGTTTTTCAAGTGTAAGGCCAGGACAGAACTTGATCTGCAGTCCATGCATAACAGTCTGAAAGCAGAATGGAACATCTGGCTTCTCCCATTTCAAAGTCACCTCTGGCTACTGCTGTCTACTGAGAATGTAGAAATGGGCTGAATCAACTCTTTGAATTTTGAATGGCAGGACAGGAGGCTAGTTTCAAATGAAGAAATTAACTGAATAAGAACACAGAGGGAAGTTAATAACAAACAGGTGGTTTGATGCAAAGGAGGTGGTAGATTCTTTGAGGAACAGGGAGAGTGTAGGATGAAAGCAGGGTGTTGCAGTGTTTTCCTCCCAGACCACAAGGGCCCAGATTGTAAAACAGCTAAATCAGTTATTTTCAACTTGTGAAAACATCCACTCACTTTCTTTCTGTTTAAGGTAAAATGTTTAGGGGTTTCTCTGAGAGAGTTATTTCCTTTTAAGACTCTGGTGACTGGAGAGTTGCCAGAATGCCTTGTTTTCCCAGCTCATTTGAGGATCCCCGTTGCCTATCAGAGTTTGTCTCTGGCATAACTCAGCCATCACCACTTAAAGCAGCTGCTTCTTCGTCTGCTTCATTGACTTTTTTTAGTAGCCAGAGAGTGAATGTTTCCTCAATCTGAAACCTGGGGTGTTTGAACGGATCTCTTTGTCCAACCCAGTCTGCAGCAAGCTTATTGAAACAACATTCCCTTCTGCAGGGCATCCAAAGGCAGGTGACCACAGGGCAGGGTTAACCTTTCATCCTTCATTCAGATTTTTTTTTTAATGGGAAAAGTGACTCCTGAATGAATGAGAGTTCCTTTCTGTGACCTCAGTGGAGGAGGAATGTGGGCAGATTGTGGTTAATTTTGAACATTAACGAGTTTAGACTTGATCCTGTGTGGCTGTAGAAGATCTCCAGGGAGGACTTGGAGCAAACTCACACTTCAGATAGTCACAGCCCTGGGATGGGTGTCTGGGGAAGCTAAAACATGAAGGAGAGGCCAGGGTTCTTTCAACAGTGATAGAAGCCTGAACAACCACTACAGAAAATTTAAATGTGTGGGATTCATTTTCCAGTAGTCGCCCCTGGCTCTGGGACTCACTGAAGTAGAACAGGAGGAGCCAGAGAATCATGAAGATGGGACAGGAATGAGCCAGCTTCTTCTCTGCTGAGAAAGGACCACAAATGATACACGTATGTGCAAAAATAGCCCTTGGCATCTAGAAATGCAGTTCTAGTTAAGTGGACAAGAGCTGAATTGAAGCAGAAGACAAATTTCTTTTCATTAAAACAGATATGTCCTATTCAGCTCAGAATAGAGTATTTTTTATCTTAGAAATTCTCAAGAAAGCCACCAAGCCAATCTTCGATGTTTTTAAACGGAACATTTGTAACAAATGTTGTACAGTGTTCCCTAGGAGTAATAAGGAAATGTCAGTCTGATCTTATCAGGGTCATTTACATTATTAAAATATTTAGGATAAAAATGTTTATGAACCCAAGTAATGCCTTTGTTTCAGAATTTTGAGCAGAACAAGCCAGCAGGATCAGACCTTTAATTCTCCTTGGTGGAAATTTAATCATTCTCTACTTAACTTTTCTTATTTTTCATCACAGATAGGAAAGGCAATCTAAATTTCTTAGATTTCTTGGAAGATGTTTCATGACCTGCTTCCTGTCTATGGCTCTGATTTCTTTGCTCAGAAATTAACTGAATATTAATCACATACTATCTTCTCAAATATGAGGCTGTCACACTCATTACAGGTTTTTAACTTCTTCGGTGACTTTGCTCAGCCTGAAAAGCATATTGAGAGAGAGAGGAGCTTTGAAGAAATGAAGGAAGAAAGAAAACTCATCCTGGAAAAAAAAATGACAGAGTGTGATTGTATCACTCAGCCATCAACCAAGAGAGAGAGAATTGAACTGTCACAACTGAAAAATGAGATTGGCCTCCAACAACTAAAGATAAGCACCTTGGAATTACACTCCCTCACTTCGGACAGAAGGCACCTTCTCTAATTCCACTCACTTCTATTGGAGAAGATGAGAGTGGCAGCTGGAGAGATGTCTCAGAGGTTAAGAGCACTGTCTTCCAGAGGTTCTGAGTTCAATTCCCAGCACCTGCATGTGGGTTCACGACCATCTATAACTGTAGTCTCATGGGATCTGATACCATTTTCTGGTGTGCAGACATACATTTAGACAAGACACATATACATAAAAAGTAAATAAATACATCTTTTAAAAAAAAAGATGAACAATTAGAAAATTGTCTCTTTCTGGCCCCACCCCTCATTTGCCATATGGCAGTCTGGCGGTCTCGAACTCTCTCTCTCCCTCTCTCACACACACACACACACACACACACACACACACACACACACACACACACACACACATCGCTCAATGCCTGAAGAGGGTGGGCGAGCTGGCCCTGAGGTTGTAAGAGCTGTAGAGCTGCCCCTGCCCCTCACCAGCTACAGCACTCGGGAAAGAGGCCATGCATCTCGCTGGGGCAGCATAGTAGAGCTGATCTGTTGGCAAAGGTTATGAGTCACCAAGCTCTGAAGTTGAGAACATGGGAGAGCAGTCCCCACCACTGTCATGTGGCAGCATGGGGTGGTGGTGGTGTTCCTTTTTATCCATCTCTGCCTGTGACAGACAGGGGCCTGACCCTCCCCCTTACCAGCTGCAGTCTTCAGGAAAGCGAGCCCTGCTCCTCACCTGGGCAGCACAGTAGAACCGCCCCTGTTGGTGGAGGCAGAGGTGAGCTGGCCCTCAGGGTTTGAGAGTGGGATAGCTGGCCACACTGCCCTCCTCTGCCATGTGGTGGAGAGGGCAAAGGAAAGATACCCTCCCCGACTTGTCCCTTCCACCTGTGGTGAGGGAGCTGACCCGTCCCACCCTTACCAGCTTCAGCACAGCAGAGCTGACCCTTTTGACGGGTACAGGTGAACCAGCCCAGAGAATGTGTGAGCTTAGGAAATCTGGCCCGATATGAGTTTAGGAAATCTGCCCAGACCTCTCATCTGCCATGTGGTGGTGTGGGCAAGGGAGAGATGTCCATGTCCTTGCACCGCCCCCCCCCCTTCCGCTCCCCAGATGCTTATGGTGGGTGGAAGAGCTAGCCCTGAGATAATAGCTAGAGATTTGTCCCTGCCCCTCACCAGCTGCAACACTCAGTAGAGTGGCCCCTGTGCCTTGCTTGGGCAACACAGTGGAGCTGTCCCTGATGGTACAGGTATGGGAGAGCTGACCCTGGGGATATGAAAACAGGAGAACTGGTCCCACCTCTTGCTCATTGTTGCAAGGGATGCACTAGCCTGGGCAATGCTGGAAAGCTCACCGAGGGGTTGAGGACAGGGGAGAGCTGGCAGGCTGACCAATCAGTCCTACAACTACCCAGACTCAGAACCAGGGTTGTGAGTTGGCCCATCCCAATATCTACTTCATCTATGATTTATGGGAGCAACTGAAAGGGCCAGTCCTGCACACCCAAAGCTGCAGGACCTCCATGACACAGGGCAACAGCAGGATATCCAAGAGAAGCCCCAGTGAGGACCCAGCATCTATAGTGTAGCACAAACCAGAGGCCTTGAACCAGACCAATGACTCTTTGCAAAGAACATTTGCAAATAAAGCTATATGGATAAAGGGGTTTACTGAGTATGACTTGCTACAGCTTCCATGATGATATTTTTCCTTTTCTTTTTTTCTCTTAAATTTTATTTTATTTGGTAGGAGGTGGTTTGCAAGGGCAGAGGGTGGATACAAGGAGACTGGAAATGAATGGGATTGAGATGCATGATGTGAAAGACACAAAGAATAAATAAAAGAACGTTAAAATTCTCTCCTTTTGGACAACACTGAGTTTTATAAATAATTTTGAAATTTTTTTAGTTTTGTGAAGTTTTTAAAATTGACATTTTACCGTGCTAGGTATTAAGGCAAGGACTTAAAAATATCAAATATCATAGATAAAGTGTTCAGTTGTTTATCTTTTGGCTATATTAATCCAACTGTAACTTCTATGCTTTTCTAGAAACATGACCACTATTAAAGAAGAATTGTATTAACAATAAAGAATGAAGTTGTTATCAAGAAAACACAAAGTTCTTAGCATGAATATTAATATTTAATGCCATAATAGTTTGACCTGTTGGCATGTGCCTGTAATCCCAGCCAGAACTCAAGAGGCTGAACAAGGAGGCCTGCAGTTAGATAGCCAGCCTGGCTACACAAAATACCTTATTTTATACAAATAGATAAATGACCATAAAACCCCATTTCAAAGGCTTGTGGTTAAGCTCTGGATTATAATACTTACTTGTGATGCAGGAGATTCAGGATTCAATCCCCAGCACTGCCCCCTTCACTCCAGTGCATCCTATTTCACTTGCCCCATTGTAGTTTTCCCACTAGTAAAAACAAGGGGAGGAAAGCATTGAGATATAATTACCTAAGATGAGCTGAGCTCTAAGTTTAAAACTGAGCTTGTACACAATCAACACCACACCCATGGTGTCGATCTCCATATAGTCTTGCTCCTCAGAGTGGTTTTATTTTTGCCAAAGAAAATTAAACCATAAAAATTGTCTTAGAAAACTTTCTGAGTGATAGAATTCATAATAACATCATAAAAACTAACTTCAACCATTATTACAATCTGAGACAATTCTGTTTTAACAACTTGTATTTTTATTACATGAACTTTGCTGAGTTCATTTTTTTTTCTAAGATGATTGAGGCATCATAAGTTTTATATGCCATTAACTGTTGATACTGGACACCATGAGCTTCTCGGTCCCCTCCCCACCCTATCCTACTTCCTTGTGGTGAAGCCAAGTCTACAACCCAGCTGTCAGTCCTCTCCCCAAACCATGATCTGCTGAAGTCAGCGGTGCTTACTGTCTGAGACCAGTTCAATTTCAACCCAGGAGGACATCTGCATGATACTCAAACTATCCCTATTGAGAATGTTCTGAGGGCACCCCCACTCCCTGACTTCCCCATAGACAAAGCTGAGGTGCTTGTTAAACCTGTAGTGCTCACCATTTCCTCTGTCCTCTGGTGCTTGCTGTCCATTCCAGACATTCCCAATGAGCATTCTACATATTCATCTGCACCTCAGATGCTGCATTCCAGGCAGAGCTGCACTGCCATCATTTTATAGTCCAATCGAGCTAGAAAATGACAACTTTTGCAGCTATCACCACTGCGAATGGAAAAACTTTCTCTTATTTAAAAAAAATTCTCTCTCAAATCAAAAAAGAAAAAAAAAAGGCCTGGATTGATTATTTAAATTAGATAGATAGATAGATAGATAGATAGATAGATAGATAGATAGATAGATAGAGATAGGTTATATGGAGAGGCATAGATTTGACAAGATAATGAAACTGCTGACCAGGAAGATAATTTAGTTTTCAGACACCACGGTTAAAATGCACTGAAATATTTTAACGTTTTTATTATCATTTCTTTATAAAATACAATGAACTAGATTCAGTTTTAGAAATAAAACTAGACATTAAGTTTGTTCTTAAATATTTTATTTTATTTCTTAAAAGATGTCAAATTAAGAAATCAATTTTTGTAAATGTGTATTTGGATTCCTGTATAGTGGTGAAGCAGGTCAGAAAACACCCACCAAGCTTTTCTCTGACGCATTAGATCTGAAGGGAATGGCCAGGGGTCTCACCAACTCTTTCAAAAACATGCCTCTAATGACTTAACATCTGCCAGCCATGCTGCTACCTTCTTGAAAGTTTTGTCACCTTCCAAAAATGTCATGAAATAATGCCAAAGCCTTTAATACACGAGCAAAGAGAGGCAATTCATTGCCAAAATTATACTATTTGAAGAGAGAGAAACTGGCATATATAAAAATAGACAATAGGGATGCTCTTTTATGTGAAGACATTTGAGGAAGATAGCCATCTTCTTTCACCCTGTATTCTCCCCTAGACTTGAAGGTCCTTATTAATATATCAACACTATCTGGATGAATTAATTTTCATAGCAGTGCCATGAGAACAGAGCATGACAATAAACTGTATATGATTTCAACCAGGCTTGCAGGTACCCCTCTGCTATTGCCTCCATTCTCTGGGGACACTGAGGAATTTAGGTGCTAGGTGCAGACCCAGCTTTCCTCCATCCTTTTAATCCTCTCAGCCCTCCCTTCTAGCCATTCCCATTGCTTTATGTCAGTTGCCAATACCTAGAAACATTCTCTGCCGTGCACCCAGTAGCCATACCCAGTGGGGACTCACATAGGTAATTTTCATTTTCCTTTGTATCCTTTATTACTCTCTCTCCAGTTTCATCCTCAGCCCTGTAGCAGCCTGCCTGCTGATGACACTCCATTCACTGGAAACCCCAACTCTGGATTCAGACCTAGGGTTCCCCAAGGCCTTTCATTTCTGTCTCTCCAGATTATTCTTCATCTGAAACCTACTTCCAGGAGTGCCTTTTCGCATCACATCTTGAACTCCCTAGGTGTTTTGCATCTATGTATGGACAGAATACTCTTACTTTTTCCCAAAGCCCCCTCAGACTTTTCTCTGATCCCATCTCTATTCTCTCTGCTACACATTGACCTACAGAAGCATAGGCTTCTACCAGGCAACCTACAACCATCACACACAGTTTCCTAAGATCCAGAAAGGTCAAAAAACAAGAAAAAAGGTAAATAAAGCAAGGAATGGACCATCCACCGGACAAAGACAAGATCAGGTATCACTATATAGAATCATAGAATCATCTCAGCTGTGTTAACCAAAGATGCATAGACACCAGTATAACACCCAAACACGAACACCAAAGACAATATGTCTGCACCAGAACCCAGTGACCCTACTTCAGTAGACCCCGAGAAATACAATAGAGCTGTAGCACAAGAGAAGAACTTCAAAATAACAGGTACGGTTATGTCCAAAGATGATAAGTAAGCTGTGGATAAATCCCTTAATAAAGTCTATGAAAACACAAATTGTGGAATGAAATACTGAAAAGAGTTTAAGATATGAAAGTAGAAATAAAACCACTACAGAGCCCCAATCTGTGATAAAACTGGAAGTGGAAAATTTAGGAATACAAACAAAACCTCAGAGGCAAGTTTCACTTACAGACATGGAAGAGTGAATTTCAGGTAGTACAAACAGTAGTGGAAATGCTCGTCTCTGTAAAAGAAACTGTTAATCTAAAAAGAAAGCTTAGGTACAAAACATCCAGGTAATCTAGACACTATGAAAAGACCCAATCTATGAATAAGAGTAGAGGAAGGAGAAGAAACCAACATCAAAGGCACATGAAATATTTTCAAGGAAATCATAGAAGAAAATTTATTTAACCTAAAGAATGAGGTGTCCTGTAGCTAGAGTTTTCCTGCCTTGCCTACAGTCAGGACAAATCTCTGCAGTCCCACAGCCACTCAGACCCAACCAAGTAAACACAGAGACTTATATTGCTTACAAACTGTATGGCCATGGCAGGCTTCTTGATAACTGTTCTTATAGCTTAAATTAATCCATTTCCATAAATCTATAACTTGCCACGTGACTCGTGGCTTACCGGCATCTTCACATCCTGCTTGTCATGGCAGAAGCTGGCAGTCTCTCTTCCTCCTTTCTGTTCTCTCAATTCTCCTCTCTGTTAGTCCCACCTATACTTCCTGCCTGGCCACTGGCCAATCAGTGTTTTATTAATTGACCAATCAGAGCAATTTGACATACAGACCATCCCACAGCACTCCCCCCCCCACCTTTTTTTAAAGAGAAAGGTTTTAACTTTTACACATCTGCAAAGCCAGCTTGGTATATTTGGGAATTTGGGCATAGCTTTTCTTATTACTTCCTGCTGTATCTTATGGGAACACAAAGAAAATTTTAGAATTTTGTAGTAGCCCATGAGGGTGTATTGTCTGAGCCAGTTGCCTTGAAACGTTTCTGGATGTTGGATCATCTGGGCCTTGGTGTCATCGGAGACCTTTCAGGGGGTCTTGGCTGGTCAAACCTGTGTATCTTAATCTGGAACAAATCCATAGCCTCTGGCTTTCTGTGGAAACAAAAGTAGAACCTCCTTTCCAAAGCAACATATCCTTACATCCAAATTTTGAAGTCAAGGTACCTTTAAAATATACATTTTGGCATAACTCAACAGCTTTTGCAATCAATTTTTTTCTTCAGTTACGAATATCAAAGAGAACATAATCCAGATTCTCTGTATGGTAGCCATCTTTACATGGCTTATTTTTTATATTACCTTGAGCCTATTGCTTTAAACTGAAGCCTTCAAAGCCTGAAATGGCATCGCTGTGGCTGCTGGCTCTGCCCACTTCAGCTTCCCAACATGGCGGTGGTACATTTTCTGCCTGCTCTGGGAGCCATCAACTCTCAGAAATAGTGGGCCTATGCTTCTACCAAAGCAGCATGTAGCCCAGAAACCACTTTTTGTTTTGTACTAGCAAAGGCTAAATCCACCATGCAGCTTAATGTGCCACTTGCAGAGGTCTCATTCCCGCCATACTAAAGGTCGAGTGCGCATACCAGGAACCCACCACAGTAGCTCAAACATGCAGGCTGCCACTAACTTGAGAGAAACAACTAGGAACTGTTTTTAGCTCCGTTTTAGAATCTTTTTTTTGTCAGGTTTTAGGTGGAAACTCTTGCCAACACCTTGGGTGCCAGTGTCCCCATGGTACTGAACTAGTACCTCTGGATAAGTGAGACAGTTGTTTAGCTTAAACTGTTTAGAGGGCCCCCAGGCAGTGCGACCAAGACCTGTCCCTAGTTCATGAGCCAGCTTTTTGGAACCTAGTGCCTATGCTGAGACACTTTGCACAGCCTTAGTGAAGGGAGGAGGAGCTTGGACCTGCCTCAACTGAATGTACTAGGCTGTGCTGACTCCCCATGGGAGACCTTCCCTTGGAGGAGGTGAAAATGGGGGTGGGAGGAGGGAGGACAGGGCAATCGGAGGTTGATATGTAAAATGAATAGAAAAATCTCTTAATAAAAAAATGAAAAAAATGTGTCTATCAAGACACAAGGATAATATTGATCACCAAATGGACTGGACAATGGTATAATATTCTGCTGTTAAAAAAAAGCAAAGAAATCATGAAATTTGCAGGCAAATGGATGGAGCTAGAAAAGAGCCATTCTGAGTGAACCCATTAATCTCAAACCCCAAGAGAGACATATGGTCTCTATTAGCTTATATGTAGATGTTAGTTTTTAGGCCTTTGATAGGCACACTACAATCCAAATATCCACAGAGGTTAGATATAGAGTATGGGATTACTGGAGAGGGGAGGATCACCCAAGTAGAAAGAAATAAGTATATTCAAGGAGAGATGGAGCCAAACTGGAACATGAGGGTTACATAGGGAGGAAGAGAAGAGAGGGGATTAAGGGAGGGGACATGGTGAGGAAAAACTAACACTAAGGGTCATTTGAGTGGGCAGATGGCCACTGACTACTATAGAAACTTCTCAATAGATGGATATGAATGAAATCTAAACGGAATCAGCAAGTAATAAGGTAAATAATGCCCCAAATAGACATCTTTGCCATCAAATAAAACTTCCAGTGCCAGGAATGGATTATATCTAATTGAGTTGTCGGAGGAAGGGGTCCCATGGAAAGCCCCAAACAACTCAGACTACTGCCGAGGATACCAGTTGCACTTCACTAACTGATGGTAAGGACATATTGTTGAAGAAAACATTTATGTATTTCCTTGAACATGAAAAAGTCAAGCTCCTGCCAACCTAGAGCCTTCACCCTTACTGACGAGTGCTCATGATAGTGGAAAATAATCTGCATGATATCAAAGGAAATAGGTAATTACTGACCTAGTTACAAACCTTGTGATCTACATCAGTGATCTGCAAGATGTGCTAGCGTAATAGTGACACAAATGTTGTAGAAGTAACCAGTCACTATCTGACCAGATTTCAGGCCCACTCCATGAGATAGAACCCATGCCTGTCACTGCTCAGATAGCCAAGAACCTTAGACTAGATATGCCATGAGGAAAACCAAATGCTAATATTCTGCTGAAGGGACACCATAATGCTAAGAAGAACTAATAACATTCTGCTATACCTATAGATCAGTGTTCTCCTCAGCCATCTTCGGAGAAGCTTCTTCTTGCAGTAGATGGCAACTAACACAGAGACCCACACTGAACAATGTATAGATGCTGGGAGGTTTTGGAACACTAAGTCCTAAATGGAACATCTTAATAAAACCACTAGACTTGAGGCTCATGGAGCCAGCTATGTGAAAGAGGAGGTGCAGAGATTGTAAGGGCCTCTTGGGATAGAAGACATCAAGGAAACAATGCCTTCTAGATGGAACACAACTGATGCACATATGAACCTACAGAGACTGTACAGACCCAAGCATGCCAGGGTCCCAGTGCTAAGAGGGGGGAAGGGGACATGATCTCCCATCCCTGACTATGATGCTCTCTCAAACTGACATCTGCTTGTAAAGAAATAATTAGTTTTCTCCAGTGACGTCTGACTGAGTATATAAACCACACTTAAATGTAGTCTCCATGTATAGCATTAGATGGCCAACACATAATAAAATTCAGTGTTTTTTGTAGATGTTTTGTCTCATACTGCTTTGTTTGGGCTTTATTTTTTTTTTAAATTTACTTTCTCTTGTTTGTATATTATGGTTTTTTATTTTGTATTTTTATGTCATGCACACAAATTTGTGTGTGTGTATGTGTGTTTCTTATGATTTGGGGTTTTTATAAAAATTCTGGTTTCTTTGGTTTTGTTTTGCCAAAGAGAGAAAGAAAGCATAGTGTTGGGTTGTAAAAGGAATCTCAGAAGAGATGGGACAGTGAAAACCATGGTCAACATATATTTTATGAATTTTCAAAAGAAAAATTAAAGATGAATACAAAACATATTGAGTAAAGGAAAAAATAACAAAATCATCCTAGAAAGTTCCACATTTAACTAACTCATACCTGTAAAATGGTGTGTATGCATTATTGTAGGAATCCTCATAACCATCTTGCTATTTATGTATTACTTATAATTTTTAAAAATAAATTTACAAACCAAGAGATTGGAATTTGGCAGAAAAAAATATTTCAATCAGAGACTTGCATAGGTCCATCCTTTCAAACCAGATTACCAAAAATAATTATGACTTACCAACACTTACTGGGTTTTTATATGCCAGACCCCATGCAGCTTTACAATTATTATCTCTTTCTTTTATAATTTTTTTTTTGTTTTTTCGAGAAAAAGTTTACCTGCATAACAGTCCTGAGTGCCATGGAACTTACTTTGTAGACAAGGCTGGCCTTGAACTCACTGAGATCCACCTGCCTCTGCCTCCCAAGGGCTGGGATCAAAGGCATTCATCAATAAGTGAAATATTATAACTATTATCTTAATCATTCTCTCTATCAACCCAACCACGTCAGGGCTACAGATATTCTGTAGGATGGAAAACTGAGACTCAGAAGGGTAAATATTTTGCTTAAAATTATATAATATTAGGAAACAGTTCCCACATCTGTGAAGCAACCAAGCCTCGGGCCGCCTCTTCAGACTTCTCACTGTATCTTTTTCATAAAGAAAGAGATCATTAATTAATGACCCCTGCTTTTCATCCTATCCAGTCAAGGGAGTACTACAATCCTTTGATTTTTTTCCCTCCACCTTGACTATTCAGTATCTTCAATTTATTTTATTAAATTACTTCATCCTTTCTACTTCATTTGACCCTTTCTACTTTATAAGAAAGTTTATTCATTGTCCTTCACTGTCTCCTACATGCATCCCATCTTATGTAGTTTTTTCCATTAGCATATGTATTCTCAAATATTAGCTCCAATTCCTCATCAAGCAGTTTAAGCAGTTAGCAGAAAAGTTCCCAGCAATACCAAGTGAGGTGAAGTGCGTTTGCTGATTACTTCCTATCCCCAGGATTACTCTACTTTTTCCACCTTTCCACATGCATGTTATCAAGAAGCAAGGTCTTTAGCTATTTGCTTAATAACATTTATTCATCTTATTCCTATTGTTATCACTAAAGTTTGATGAACTCTATATTGCTTTTACCATTAATTATCAATGCACATCTATTCCTCATATCTTTCACTTTCCCAATAGACAGATTAATCATTTTAAGGAATGTAATCTCCTAGAACAGTACTTTGATCATATATTTGCTATTGATCTGAATTCTTGTGGCCTAGGGTAAGGTAGAAATGCTTTCATTCAATTTCTCAGGCTGTGAAAGTCTGAAATTTCACTTCAAGTTACCTTCCCATCCTCACACCTCTCGAAAATACATGTGCCCAAATATTTCTTCCTTATACATTTTCATTCTACAGTACCATCCTTTGATCTGTCTATCATAACTCTTTGTGTCTATGCATGGTACATTTCCAGCATTGTTTATAACACTCCCATTGTTTCCAATGCCTCTGATCCTCCGCTAAGCATCCAGTTCAGTTCCCTCCAGAAACCTTGCATCAGTTTGTCCAAAAGTTGATGTCCTAATTTTATGTTCCATCTAATCCCTGTAATTTTTTTAATCATTATTTTAAATAATGAATATTTGGCTTCTTTACCAAATTCATGTTCCCTTAAAATCTTATGGAAAGTATACTTCCTTTTATCATCATAATGACTGCCTTTATTACTCTTCTACTTCTGTCCCCACCACATACAATACATAGCATCAATGCCATTTTCATGACAGGCCACTTTCACTAGAGTGGTCATCATTTTAACGGCCATCTCTGCTCCCCATCATACCATTACTGCTACTGCTTAAATAAAATAAATGTCTTTAAACAAATCCTACACATTTGAACATGTGATAGTTAATTAGGAATAATTGATATGAGTGCAGTAGATTATTAATGGTGTATAAGTTCAGTAAGAATTAAAAATTGTGTTTTAATGCTGCCTTGTTAAAAGTAAATTAAGTTTCTTATTAAGATCTATTTTAGGACTCCATCTATTGGGCTTGCTTCCATTTTCATCATTTCCACCCAATAGAATCGATTTCTGTCTCTCCCATTTGTGTACTGGAGCAGCTGAGTCTCTAGCAAATAGTCTACTGTAAATTCAAATTGCTAGAGCATTAAAGTGTCTCAGCTCACTTCAAAGAATACTCTACTCTGGTAATAAAAAACTAAAATAAAATACAGCAGCTTCCATGTAGTCCAAAACAAATAGTAGCAATAATCACCTGAATATAATGATCTGCACCAGTTTCTCCAAAGGCAGGCTAGTAGACCTCCATCTCTGTTCATTCCTTTGTTATGTCATTCTCAACCTCATGACTCTGTCTGACCTCACAAAAGTCATGTCATTGCCAACAAATTCTTGGCCCTCTTCATTTTGTATCCTTAATTTTGGAGGCTAATTTAGAAAAAAATGATAACAGATATATAAAATACATGGTAAGCCAAGCAATATGTCCAGCTTTTAATGAACTTCTACTAACTCATAATTATCTGCCTTTTAAATGAATTGAACTACATCAGAAGGTAGAATGCTGGGTGCAGTTCTAACTTGAGAATTAAGAATGGTTTTCTAGAACTTCAGTCTCTATGGGGTGAAATCTGTGTAAATCACTGTGGGTATGTGGATACAGGCCCCATCTCAAAAGCAAAACAGTAGCAATAAAACAACAGAAAAAAAAACCCACAAGGAACAACCAAATTTCATTCAAATATGTTAAACTGTAGCAATGGGGCCTACTAAATGTCAAGATGGTCTACATTGAAGCCACACATTATTACAAGCACTTTGGAAGTTATTTACATTTTAATAGTAACAGTCACAAAATGAGGAGACATAGCAAAAGAATTTGATTAAATAATCTAGATAAATCAGCACTACTTTCATTAAACATCACTCTGATATTTCTTTTCTGGAATACAGGAATAAATATAATCCTCCCCATTCCTCTCCATAAATATAGTAACACTCTCAGTGTTACCTGTGAATTAAAAAGAAGCATTTTCTGGAAAATGGAAAGGAGAAGAAGCCTAACGAGGATCACTGCTCTGTGAACTGGACTCCTGGCTTATATAGCTTAGAACAGGCAGAGCAGCTGCTGGATAAGGAAATGACCTGGAAATGACAGTACATTGGGAGCACAACTTAAAACAACTCCAGAGAAAATACTTCTTTCTGTAATCAAATGATAGGAAATGAGAAGCTTAGAAAACAGACAATTTTAGAACCTAGCTGCTGGAATTCAGCCAAAGATTACAGAAAAAGCTACAGTACTTCTTTCCCTGCCAGCAAATTCCAAATGGAGAGCTCAGACCTATGTCCTCACAAGGCTACATCAAAGACTCCCTGCCCTCGGGTAGGGTAAGGGAAGCCTGGGTGGAGAGCCTTTCACTGATGAGATAGTATGACACTTTCCTTTCTACCTGACAATGCTGTAGAGAAGGCCAAGTGGGGACACCATCACAGTGTGAGGGGGTGTCATCATAGTGTGCTGTGGGGAGAGGTAATGAGGCACCTCAGTGATATTAGCCATTGACTTCTGTAGCCTCAGGGTTCATACCTTCACCCAGACTAAGAATCATGGAGCCTTGTTACTACTTCAGCATATAGCAGTAAGGACCACGTTGAAAGCCTGGACCTCTCTCCTTAGTGAAGTACTAAAACTAGGTTCTCTTCCATGGTCAAACAGACATTGAGAGAGGCCTTCTAAAGATGTTTAAAAAATAATTACTTTTCCCCTTTTTTCTGAAATTATAATACAATTACATTTCTTGCTTCCCTATCCCCCCTCCAAACCCTCCCACATACCCTTCCCTATGCTCCTTCGGATTCATGGCCTCTTTTTTCACTAATGATTTAAAGAAAATCAGAGTCACATACCATCAAAAGTATCTAACTCTTAGGGACTTTTGGGTACCAAGAAACAAAATTTTCAGACTGAATGAGAGAAGACAACCTCTGGATATAAATACAGATGCTGATGTGTTATGTTCAAAGGTTGAAGCTAATGTTATGTGATGTGTGAATACTTAAGGCTATTGTATTATAGTCAGTGGAAGCTAGAATGGTAACGTCCACACCCCACTTGGGGTGCCAAGACGCTGTTATTAATATATTGTGGTAAGTTATGTATGTATAATGACCTAGAGCCAAAAACCTGAAGCAACCACAAAAAACGTTATCCTAAAGGATGTGTTTAGAGACAGCACGGTGAACATAACAGAGATGCTAAATCTGAGGAAGCGAAGGAAAAAGGATTTCAAGTATGAGAACAGTTACATGGCAAGTTCCACATGAGCAATCCCTTACTCAGAAGAGCTACAAATGTAAATGTCAAGAATTAGAACTGAAAACACCACAGAGACAGAAACTAGATCAATGGTGGGAGGAAATGAGTTCAGGGAAGGTGGAGGGGAGGTGGCTGATGATACGAATGAGTAGTTAGCAGCTCTTAAGTGGATGAAGATGTTTTCTGTGTGAATGCTACAGTGGTTGCACGCCTTTCCATATATAATAGCATCACACATACACAAATGTGTAATTTTGGTATGCAATCATCATAGGAAACTGGGTGATGGGTGTATGGTCCTCTAGTCTACTTTTGTACTTTTGATATACATTAAGGCGAAAGTATGCTTCTAAGTACTCATCCTTGTGAGAGAAAAAACTTGAGAAACAAGCAACTCGAGAGTTCTGACTGCAGACAAAAGCTGCCACTTGGTTCTGTTTAGGAGTATCATGAACATCTATCCTTAAGCCTCCACAGTCTTGTACTGGGTTTGGTTGTATGTCAATTGCTGTTGTCAAGAAAATGGAACAATTAGGGTCCTCCGTTGGATGGTGGTTGTTGCCATTCCCAACCAAACCTGTAAACATAGATAAGGAAGGATATGCCACAAATGGTTCCATGGTTTTCTTACCAGAAGAAAAGGGGAGATTAATTTACTGATTAAGTAATAGATGGTCACTACAGCAAACTATAATAACCATGGTAAGATGCTCCACTGCAACTAATAGCATGTCAAATGGGCTATGTGTCTCTTTGCTCTTGAGCAATAGTTGCTTATCTGACTACAGTTACAGAAAACACATTGTTCAACACAATCAGTTATCAGTATACTCTTCAATGAAGAGCTGGCCTATTAAAGAAGGAAGAAACCTCACAGAAGAAAAAAAAACACATGGAGAGAATAACATGAGTGAAACAGAAGAAATTCTTTTTTTTTTAAATCAGAAAATTTAAGAAATACAAAACCTTAAAAATATTTATTTAAAACTAAGTGTTCCACAAAAAAAGCTAACAATTGATAAGTCACACAATATTTTTAAGACAACAGCTCTCTGTCCATAACACTGTTCATCTTAGATGATGAAGACCTCTAGATGATGATAGCTAGATATGATATGATATGTGGATGATATATAGACCTATACAGACACAGATACATTCATACATATAGGCATAGATAAAAGATATATTGATTTATAAAGACAAATTGACATAAATACATATATATATATACATATAGACAAATACAGATGCATACATACAAGCAGAAAAACAGATATATGTATCCATATAGTCAAAGAGAGATCCATTCAGGTATATAGACAGATTCATGCATATATATAGACAGACACAGATACATACATACATATAGGCATATATATACATATATATAATATACAATTTTTAAATTGGTGATACTACACTGCAGAGAGAAAATGTTAAACACAAGGGCATAGCACATGTATATATATATATATATATATATATATATATGTATACATATGCCTAAATATGTAGGTGCAAGCTGCTTAGTCTGTATAATGTTACTTGCATATACTTTAGAAAAGAGCAAGGAAGGGTTACCTGGGAGGGTTTGATGGGTAGACAGGGAAGGGGCACATTATATTATAATCTCAAAAAGCAATAATTAAAAAAAAAAGGAAAGCAAGCAGAGGACACATAAAATGGTTCTAACACCATCACTCAGCAGTTTATCATTTCCTTCATCTCTTCCATTTCAGCTCGTCAAAAGGGTTCTCCAGCATGCAAGTTCAATCCCCAGCATGATGTAGTGCTCTGTGATCTCAGGCACTGGCCCAGCCAGTCAGAGTGTGGGTGGGCCAGTGTGGATGTGCATGTGGAAGTGTTTCATGGGCTTGTTTCTCTTCTTTCCCTTAGGAGTGAAGAGAATAAAGAAGGAAATACATTAAAAGTATACCACCCAGACATCATTCAGGGTGATTCCTTTGTGTTTACAAGAGTTTAAACCTCAGCTACTATATTTAAGACAGTGCCCAGACTCTGGCACCATGATTGAGTGTTGTTTTTATAGCCGTGATACGCTAATGCTAGTGCCACAGAGCAAGATGTTTATACAATGAGCCTTGTTCATGGCTTTTCTACTGTAAGGAATGTTGCACTTATTTCTTTAAGTGCCATCTTAAAATGATGGGAAAGGGAATTATAATGTACTTTAAACAAACATTTAGCTTTACATTTTCAAAGGAACAAGCATATGCATTAGTGTGCTTTAAAGGAGCAAGAACCAGAAACTATTTTAAAGTAAAGATTAAAGAGTTTTCATCTCTGATCAGGAAGCAAAGTCACACATTGACTTGTGTAGATTTAACTCAAGTGTGCTACTATGGTGTGATTAGTGTAGAAAGCTCATTTTGTTCATCACAGCAGGCTACTGTTTCCAACTTCTAGGTTTCTAGAACTTTCAGATATGAATGACTTTTTTTGTTATATGAATGCAGCAGCCTTTGAACCATATTATAAAAGCAGTTTGCATTTCCAAAGCCAGTATCTGAATATCCGTTACACATGTGTGTGGGGGGGGACGGGGGCGTTCTATACTACGGATAGAACCCAGGGTCTTATGCACTCTAACACCTATCTATACCATATAGCAACCTTCGCTTGCTACTTGGAGACCATTTTAACCTTCATGCATCTGACCTACATGTCCTCCTGGGATGTATCACGGAAGATAAAATTCTTGAGTGGGCAACAGGCATAGATCCACTACATTCTCAGAACAGGAAGATTTGGGGAGTTTTGTTTTACCTTGATCTGTCTTGTCCACAATTCTGTCACTTCTCTCTCTCTCAGAGGTAGTAATAGAGCTGGAGCTGGAGCAGTTGAAATGGGGAAGAATTACCTAATATGAGTCTTCATGGTTAATTTTGTGACTCTAAACCAGCCCCTCAGGTCTGAACACTGGGGCTTCTAGGGTTGTGAGTGTGTGTGTGTGTGGGGGGGGGGTGACTGAGAACTCCCTTGCAAGTTCTTTCTTGTCCT